GGCTCTTCTCAAAACTGAATGCACACAAATAACAATTCTAAAAAATGTCTAACAATGCAGCATAAAAGAAAAATATCCAGGCATAAATCCTGTTTGATGGAAATATCTAATTTAAAAATACAAATATATATATAAAATGAGTCCAGATACCAAATCAGTTTTGCTTTACCCTCTTATCATGCAACATAAGTTCCTTCAAAAGTCACTTTTTGCATTACCATATCCTTGAGCAGGTGCTGATTTTAAAAAGGGATCTGGGAGTGATCAAAGGGCTTGACTGCTTCCTCCAGGGAACCCTTGGGGTGTGTGGCCACTGAAGTGGTGAAGCACAAACCAAGGCCTTGCCTTGATCCTTTACCAGCTCTGTGCCCACACAGACAAAATGCAGCACTTTCAGATTTATCTAAACTGTCTTCTGTAGCTCCTGTTAGAAAAGGAATTGTTTTGGGTGTTTTTCACAATGAAAAGCACTGAGGGTTAATTCTGGATTATTCAAAGCAATTTATCTCCTCTCACTAAAGAAACAGTAACTTTCTGCATGTTTATCTGGTTTTTCCTGATTTAGAATGATTCCACACCATGCACTGCATTCCCTGTTTTTAATGGGATCAACATGAATTTTGCCCATGGGGTGAAGACTGTTTGCAGACTGATAACACATAGAGAAACATTTTAACAGAGTAAAAGCATGATATTTTAGTAAAAGCCTGTCTGCACAGCCCAGCTTTCAATCCAGACGACAATATTAAAGGCAGTGTCCTTGAAACTCTCTTGGAACAGTGAGAATAAAGAAAAACAATGGCATTGTGTACATGCAAAAGAATGTAAAACAATATGGATTAACCAATAGTAGCTTGCTAAGCCCTGTGAACCCTGTCAGACCCTATGAAAGTGTGCTAGAGATAGGAATAAATGATGTTCACCATACTTCTGTGAAGACTCAGTGAATAGTCTGAGAGGTTTTCCAATAGTAACATCCTGAAAATAATGCTGAACTGTGCATAAAGTACATGAAAGAATTGTTAATCTCTGGCTCAGAAACCTTCTCCCACTAAAAAATGTGTTGCTATCCTATTGATTTAAGAGAAGGAAAGCCTTTTGGCTTGATTCATATTTGTATGAAAAGTGTAATACCTGTGCTGAACAGAGTGTGAAATACCCCATCCTATTTAATGTTACGTATTCCACTCTCACCAAAGGCTTAAATGAATTGTTTCATCATTCAAACTACATTTTTTTTGGTTCACAGCTTTCTAAGCAAGCCAAAGAAACAGTTTTAATATTTTATTATTGGCAATTGAGAGAGATGGGGACAACTGAGTGGTGACCAAAATCCAAATTTACTGTGGGTTACATATGCTCATATACACTGCTAGGAGGGCTAGTAATTTTTTACTATGATTGGGTTAAACATCATACAAACAAACTTACACATTTTTGCAACATCTCTTCTACCTGATTCAATCTTCTTCCCTGTGCCACTCTGATCCAATCCTACTGCAGTCTTCAAAGCTCTGTTTGTTCTTGCCAAGGCATCTTGATTATCAAATCTTTTATGCTAATCAGGTCCAAAATACTTTCTGTCTTTGCAGTACTTTATATGTTATTCTTAGATGGCCCAAATGCATATTTGGCACTTAAAATCACACCTGTGTTCCTATCTGAGACAATTAGATGACAATTTAGATGTCTTTTACTGACTTTGGTAACAAAACTTTTTGTAATAAGTTCTTGGGCAAGTAAAAGGAAGGAACCTCCTTTACCTGGGTATCTATTGCAGTTTTTATTACCCAGCCTTTTAAAGACCTGACACTGATTTTCTTTAACATTGCTCTTTCCATACCTTTTCTTACAGGTTACTGCTAATGGATTCTCCCACAACTACGACACTTAATTTGCAAAAGGATGAAAGTGGGTAAAATCCCAAACTATCCACATTTTTTCCCCCCATGTTTCTTATAAATAACAAGGATACCCTCAGTAAAAAGTCTGACACCTCTGATTATCAGCATCTTTTGCAGAGGTCCTGTGTCAGCAAGTCACTGATGAAGGCATGTCTGCCCAGGACTGTGGCACTCTGAGATCAAGGACCACTGCATGATGAAAGTGAAAACTTCACAAGTGAAGTGAAAAATTCACTTCATTGAAAAATACAAGTGAAAAATTCACCTAGAAAAAGCCATTAATGGAACAAGTAGGGTTAAATAAACTGAAAGCCATACTGGAAATAAATCCTTAGGTTTATGAACTGATGTAAAGAGACAATCTTCCCAGAGCTAACCTGGCAGACACTGTCACGTGGAGGTTCCAGACACTTCTTGAGCAAGGCTGCCATGGTGTCAAGAGGCTCCAGATGCACTGCTCAGGGGCAGGAAATGTTCAGTGGATCCCTGTATCCAGTCAAGGACAGAGCCTGCAGCTAAGGTGTGTGTCATACCCACCACAGAAATGAGATCTAGACAATTAAACTAAACTTGGAATGACAATTAGCTCACATTCCTTGTCAGTGCCCTGAAAGAATGAGAAGTCTCATGGAGGAGATAGAGCCCAGAGCAGCTGGTATCATAAATTTTACTGATCCACAGTGAGAGTGATAAATGATTTCACCAGTTCAAGCTTCACCCTCTTCCAAGGTCACTGGATTCCTCTCAGCAAAAACAATCTCTGGATCTGCAACTTTATGTTGCACTCATGAAGTGAGCTCAGCAATAAAATGCTCTGCCACGTTTTCCTCTGCTCTGGCTGTGCTTGGGACCGAGCCCTGGAGGCTCCTGCAGAGTCATTTCTACATTTCCCTGTCTGCAGAGCCCTGTCCCACAGGGCAGGAGGGGGAACAGGGACAGCAGCTGGGCACAGCTCCATTCCCAGGCTTCTCTTAACAAAACAAAAACAACAACAGGGAATGGGGCAGTTTGCCACCACAGAATGAACTCTTCTGGAGATGAGATTTCCAGAGGTATGTCAGTGTCTAAATATGCAAACAATCAACTTAATCTACTCCTGAAAATCTAGCCCAGCTTCTTTTCATATTGAGTAGGATCCAACTTGTTCTATGATGTGGTTTTAAAATATCCTGTGCAATCTAAGATAGAACACTCTGGGTATACAGTTAGAAGAAGGCATCATTTTACTACGTTATAGTGACAATTTCTCACTGCCTTGTCTTCAAAACCATGCAAATTCTTTCCTGACCCATTACTCACATATGTTTTATTTTCAGTTTCTTTTAATTTACTCTACCATATAGGCCAGATGGAGCATGAAGAAGAGATAAAGCAGCAATTTTTATGAGGTCCCTTCATGACAAAACTTACAACAGTATCACCATGACAATATAAATTTATCTTCATGGAAGTCTGGGCACACAACCCATAACAAACTTTATTTATACTTTAATCTTACTTTCTTCTTCAGCTATGAACAACAGCTGAAAATATACTGTGGAAATCAATTGACAGCAGCTGAATGAAAGAACATTAATCAAGTGACCTAAAAAAAAAATGTTTTCTGTCTCTAGTCTCCATCATGTAGGAGTTTCCAGCAGTAGTTAGGAAGGTTTGTGTCCAAGTTATAAGAAACACACACAAATTTCATTCATTGGGAGGACACTGGTTCTCTCTCATTGCAAGGACATAGACTGCACTCAATTTTCAAAATCAAAATACTTCTCAGAAACTTCGCATTATTATTAATTTAGATGCTTAATACAGAAGTACAAGTCCATCTTCAGAACTCAGAACAGCCTTATCTGAAGTGATATCAGTTACTCCTGACTTGCAATCTTCAGTATGATTTAATTTCAGTTTCTTTTGAGACACAGTAAGATTTCATATTGGGTACAGCACAGACTGATTCCAGGTTGGTTAGTGTAAATGAAGAGCAAGTGCTATGACCACCACAGGCTTTCTTACCACACTCATCTGATAAACACGATGGAGATCTCATTTTTATATGCATAAAGAAGGTGAATTAGAAAAGTAAACATTCCTATAGCTACATCTTCAATAGCATAGTTTGAACTCAAAGATAAGAAGAAACTTGCTTTGAAAAAACAGTGCTTTGCTGAAGTCTTTCATGCAAATGATCCTTATCCTACCTAAAATTAATAAATCTATGAAAGGCAACTCTTATCTCTTTAATCATAATTTTCTCGTAATATATTCTTAATAATAAGGCAAACTACATACAGCACAGCAGATGAAATAAAAGGTCTGCAGATTGGATTTACAATATAATAGGAGTGCCTTTCTGTGTGTCAGCACACTCTTTACTGAAAAGGTTTCCATCACTCCCATTGTGCTGATAAAGCAGATTTAAAAAAAAATTATAAATGGAAAACTTTTAGGGAACTGCATGCAATGACTTTTAGGGAACTGCATGCAATGTCACATCTCTCTCCACTGCCAAAGGATATAAACCTCTACTTACCATTTAAAGTGTCTCAATTAAAAAAACACAACCAGTCCATAAAATGACTAGACAAAGTTAATTCATTTCTCTGTTTTTCTGTGGATCCTAATTAGAATTGTAACAGCTGCTCTGGGATCTGGGAGGTTCCCTGTGCTGTCCTAGGGGTTGAAAGAAGGGATCTGGGATCTGGGAGGTTCCCTGTGCTGTCTAAAGAGCTGACAGGAGGGATCTGGGATCTGGGATCTGGGATCTGGGAGGTTCCCTGTGCTGTCCAAGGGGCTGACAGAAGGGATCTGGGATCTGGGAGGTTCCCTGTGCTGTCCTAGAGGTTGACAGAAGGGATCTGAGATCTGAGATCTGGGATCTGGATCTGGGTGATTCTGTGCACTGTCCAAGGGGCTGACAGAAGGGATCTGGGATCTGGGAGGTTCCCTGTGCTGTCCTAGGGGTTGAGGGGAGGGGAAGGTCCTGGATGAGCTGGGTACCTGGTCAAGCTTCCAGTGGAACTCGGCGGGGCGGAAGGTGTCGGCGGGTTCCCTGTGCTGTCCTAGGGGCTGAGGGGAGGGGAAGGTCCTGGATGAGCTGGGTACCTGGTCAAGCTTCCAGTGGAACTCGGCGGGGCGGAAGGTGTCGGCGCGGTGGAAGTCCTTGCGCAGCAGGAGCACGAGGCGGCAGTTGTGCACGTAGAGCGCGTAGTGGTGCCGGTTCATCTCTGCGGGGACACAGCCAGCTCAGCACCACACACAGCTCAGCCCTGCCTGGGAACCTGCCACACTGACAGCACCCAGCCACAGCACACAAACCCTGCATAACCCTGGAGCTCGCTCACGGATCCTTATGGCTCCTCTTGAACTATGCTGCAACAGCTTTGTCCATGGAATCATCGTGTCCCAGCTAATAAATCAAATCCAAACACTTATTTCATCTAACTAAGCTTCAGTGAAGAGATAGAACTGTTTCTCCCAATCTAAGTCATGAAGAAAAAATACTTTTTTTTATTATTTTTTTTAAAATCAATCAATTCCTGTGAAATCTCTAGCTGTGTTATCCCAGCTGTGTTTGAAATTTAGGTTGTCATCAGGCCCCCCAATAAGCTCTCAAGTCAGCAATGTTTGGAGGGGCACCATCTGAGATTAGTTGTTTTTTTATCAGACCAAATTAAATGAGGAGAGATGGCAACACTACTGCTGGTGAAATTCCCTTTTCATAACACTTTTCCCATACACAGACTCACCTGTCTTGTCAGAGTTGCAGAGAATGGTTTCCTTCTCGGCCCTTAATCCAGGACTAGGTCCATGTTTCATCCACAGAGTGATGGTGAATTGATCAGTTAAATTTTTCGGGACAATTCCATCTGGGATTTTGGCTCCTTGCTTTCCATCAAATTTAAAAATTATGTCGTTGTTATCCATGAGGAGCCCAGCTGTCCAGTTGGTTGTTGCACTGGGAGATGGTAACAGATCAATGGCACCTGAGGAAGCTCCTGCAAATCACATAGAATGAAAAATGCAATAAGAGACCAATGAAAAAGCTGTCAAGACTAATTTAATGTAGGCCAGGGTTCTGAGGCACACTCTTTAGACTATTTTACTACCCAAATGGCCCTACCAGCCTCAATGCTAAATCACTGAAACATAAATAAAACACCCACCATCGTAAACCAGCAGGAGTTTTCAAGTTTAAACGTACTGCACAGAAAACTATAGAAAATAATGTAAAGTTATCTTTCTCAGAAATGTTAATTTTCTGAAATCCATTAATGACATTTCTTCAGCTGTTTCAAGATCTGCTAAGGGTCAAAACAAGAAGAGATAAAAGATCCCAAATCTCTTTAGGAATGCAAAAATTTTAAGCCAAAAGTGTGTAAAATTGTTTCATATAGGCTTTTTTTAAAAAAAAGTATTACAGTTATGATTTGGAAATATTCACCAAAGTCTTGGATTCTTCTCCAAAATTTTTTACTGTACAATTTTGAAGTGATATTTTGAAGTGATGTTTTGAATACCAAAACTAACACCTACATGTTCATAGTTTGAGCATGGAGACAAAGTGTATTTATTTTACAAACTGTAAACATTGCATTTGTGTAACCAGCACCAAGCTCAACAGGTTCTATTTTACCTGCCCATATTTGTATGGAGATATATGTCTAAGTTTGGAATCTCATCCTGTTAGTGTGTTTTAATCCTGCTCCAAGAAAAAACAGTGGATTATGTGCTTGGGAGATTGGCTGGAATAAATCAGGCTTTTCCTATCCTAATAAATCCAGCCAGAGTCGCAGGCTGCTCAGCCATGAACAGAGTCAGAGCTGGAACAATGCAAACAGGATCTCTCTGAAGGTGTTCCCAGAACAGCCTCATCACTGCGTCAGTGCCTGGTGCTGTTTTCTCCCAAAATGCTTCCAGAACAATGCAGGAACTGCTGCATGAAGTGCAGTTTTGGGTTGAGACCCCTGAGGCACCTCTTGCATATAAAAGTGCTTATTTTCACAGGTGATTTCTGCAGTTGGCTCCACCTTCTCTCCCAGTCCTGCGCATTTGGGCTCCAAACTTTGTGCCAGGGTAAGCACTCGGTGATGTTGCTTGCTGAGCTGGACCAGCCTGCTGGCTTAGCTGGAAACAAATCATCCAAATATGATCTACCCAGCCCAAATTGTCCTTCATGATCAGATCAGCAACTTTCTTTGAGCCTCCTGCAATGCTGCACCACCCAGGATAAGGGAGAGAGGGCAGGATCCTTGAGTCTGATACTCAGTGTTTCCCTCTCTCAGTTTCCCATCTGCCACATGTGAGATTTAACAATCCCATTATTTTCTATTTTATTTACATTTAGAAAGAAAGGACACAGCAACAGAGCCATCTTTTCACTATATTTTAGGCTCCTTAACCTATGTTTATTTTAGTGTGATTTATTCCGATGTGTTTTTGCAGTCCAAATGGTGTCTTTTGGACAGTCTGTACTTCTCATTACTGTCAGGTGACAAGGTGAAAGAATGCTTACTAAAATGCTTTGAGGCACAACACTAATAATTCTTTGACTTTAAAATGACTCAAGTGTAATTTAATCATTTAAGCTTCCCACCTTTACCATCCAAGGGTGTGCAAGTCTCTGGGTTATTGAAAGGCAGACTTGAACCTTCTGTCATATAAAAATGAATTTTAATTCACCCTCCTTAGCATCTGCCTTCTCCAGATTTCCAACAGACAAATGAAGAAATTAGCACAGGATTTATAAACAGGATCTTTAATTACACAGAGAGAGCCTTGCATTTTTACATGGTGCAGAGACATCTGAGTGCTCAGTTCTGCACTCTCTGCAGTCACACAGTGTTTCACTGTACAAAAAAAAAATTAATCATGGTTTTCTTCCTTTTCAAAGGATTTTATCATCCAGGAATTAGTTACAATAAGGTAATTTCTGGGAGAAAGCTGATTTCCAGAAATAATTTAACCTGCTTTCATAAGAGTTCTCTCTACATTAAGGATGGCAATAAATATAAAATTACAAAGTGCAGGCTGAACTAAATGCAATTCTCATGTACAGCACATTGTCACTTACAATCTTTCTTATTGAAGTCCTGTTACAAGTTTCTACCATGTCTGCTCTCTATGAAAACATGGAAAACCTGGACCAAGAAATGCATTCTTTCAGCAGTGAGAATTTTCCCCCATTTATGTACACTCTCAAACCCTTGGCCATCTTCTCAAGTGCTTTCCATTCTGCCCCTTGGCTGATGTGCTGAGCCTGAGCTGAGGTTCATTCCTGACATCTGTCCACTGCTCAGAGCTACCTGCAGCCACCACAATGGCCCTGGCAGACCTGAGAAATGTCTTTAATCCTCTTTTCTACTCCAGTGTCATCAGGTGAGGCAGTCAAGCCACACTCTGCAAGCTGAACCCCTTAGAGTTTGCACAACCTTCCTCAGCTAGGGACTCTTACAGCAGCTGAAGGTACCTGCTCTCAGCCCTGCACTTGAAATGATAACATTGTTAGATGTAGCTGCTATCAGTGTTTGATTCCAAGGTAATAATTTTGTGGTTTAGGTCTCATTCACAGTCACTGAGTGACTGTGCTGTTTGCAGTTCAGGTCTGTAAGAGCACACAGCAATGTTCTTTTGGCTGCCAATACAGCTTCCTACAGGAGGCAAAACTATGAGACTTTAGCTATAACATATTTATTTTTATTAAAATTCTAGTATTTTATGAAATCAAGCCTTGCACAGCCTCTCAAATTTAGTGATTAAGGTGCATATTGTGGCAGATGGATTTTCATCTGCTCTTCTAGAGCCCAGGCATTTGGATAAAGACACAGAATTGAAGTCATGATTGTTTCTGTGATCTTAACTAAGCAATTTTGAAGTTGAAAACATTCAAATTTTATCGCAATGCTACTACTCCCACCCACCTTTACATCCCTTTCTCCATCTCCACAGATAACTGGTAATTGTGACTGCCAACCATTTTTCCCTGGGAATTGCTTCCACATTTTTAATGATTTAGTAACACTGGCTGAAATTTTTCACTTACAAAAATTATTTCCTAAAGGTTAGTCTATTGGTCTTAACATATCTGCAGCACTGCTGGGTGGTTATCAGAGCAAAGGCAAGCCCTACACCAGAGCACCCCAAACCAAAATCCACCCATTTATATAGAGAAAATTGCACAACTGCTACTGTAGCTCAGACAAAAGCCAGGCAAAAAGATGCAGAAGATGAGAATTAATGTCCACACCATCAGGGACTCAGAGGAGGACTCTAAAGACAGGATATTAGAGCAGGAGAGACCTCTGATCACAAAAGATAAAGGGATTATTTCATGGCCATTGCCTTGCCAGATACAGAATCTTAAAGTCTTAAAAAAAAAAACCAGCAGTACTTTCAAGTGTTTAACTTGCCTGTCAAAACTGACTTTTGCATTTTACACAAAGTCATCAAAAAGCCCAAAAAGGGAGGAAAAAATTAGGAACTATTTCTTTACCAGGTCAGCTCTTATTTGAAGTTCATGATTCTTAAATATTTTTGCTCAAAATATTGCCCAGAGTATTGCTTTACTTTTTGTTTGTTTGTTTGTTTGTCCTCTGGCACAGCACTGAACAGCAAAGCAGAAAGCTGAGTTAGGAGGACTGAAAGACTGAAACAGGGAGATTCAATTCCCTTCACATCCTGTGATCTTCCTGTGATGGCAAATCTACACTGGAAACCTCACTAGACTATCACACCAGTATCTGCAGCAGAGGGAAGAAAGGAGAAAGAGGTAAGAATGAGGAGTAAGGAGAAAGGAATAGGAGCAGGAGAGAAAAAAATTAAAAGAAGGCAGAGAGAAAGTATGAGATGAAAACAAATGGAAAAAAAGGATGGAGCAGCTGTCAATTATCACCACTCTCTCCATTTTCATTGCTACGATCCAGAGTGAGCCAGCTGAGCTAAATCCATGCTCACAGGTCACAGGGAACTGCTGTCTTGTCTGCACAAACATTATTATGGCAACTGAAATCCATATTCGTACCACATAATTTCTGCAGAGACTTTTCGGAGTAGGTTTCGCGGTCACAGCCCTTTCCGATGGAACTGGTCTGCAGCTCGATGGTGGTGTGGATGGAGGACACTGGTCCATCACAGGTCTCCAGGTGGATGCTGGGGAACAAGGGGATGCTGCCAGAGCCAGGCCTGTATTCAATCCGTTTGTTCCAGTCTGTAAAAACAAACAGATCAAAAACAACAAGATCCAACGGTGAAGAAAAAAAGAGGAGGGAGTTATGTAATTTCACGTGACATAGTGTTCTCAAAGGTCGCTGTCTGAGGCAAAAATAAGAGTTCCTGAACTTGGCATCAGTAAACTACTCTCCTGAAAAAAACCTGGATTTTGGCCTTGTTTTTCTAAGAGTGTCAGGCTTACTTAAGTAACACTGCTGCTGGTTGAGTCACACAGGTGAGGGCTCCACACATCTGCTGACAAGAAGTGCTAATTGGTGTCAGTCTGGAGCTGCAGTGCTCACGCTCCTGTGACAGACTACAAGCCAGCTCTGCAGGGAGGAGGTGTCTGCTGCACCCAGTTTGGTCAGATTTCACAATGTTGTGGTAAGAACAAATGCCTCCAAGGAGCTACACACATCATTCTAATATAACACCTCTGTAGAGTCACTTCTTGCCTTGGAACATCTTCCTAATTTTGTGAAGCACTAATGACAGGAAGGTCCAGCTGAAAGGATGACTTGTGCTTCCAGCCAGATCTGACTAATCTGTGCTTATGCAGATGCCTCACAACCCGTAACATTTAAACAATCCCCTGCCTCAGGCAGCCACCTGTTTGTGCCACACATACCCCTGTCTGCTCAACTGAAGCATTTAATGTTTGAAATCCAATTAATTATGGTGCTTGCAACACGCTTCAGAGAAAACCCAAACAAGCAGCAGTAATTATAAACGTGTATTTTAGCTGTCTTTATAGCTCATATTTTCATCAGGTCACAGGATGACTGGAGCTGGAAGAGAGATCCTCAAAGCTCACTTAGTCCATCCCCTTGCCATGGGCAGGGGACCCTGCCACTAAACCAGGTTGCTCAAGGTCCCACCCAACCTGACCTCAAACGATTTGAGGAACAGGGCATCCACAGCTTCTCTGGGAAACCTGTGCTGTGCCTCAGCATCCTAATAGGAAAAAACATCTCTTTCATGTATCCAATCTAAATCCAACTTAAAAGCTGTTGTCTCTTTTCCTGTCACTACAGGCCTCAGTAAAATCTTTCTATCCATCTTTCTCATAAGTCCCCTTAAGCACTGAAAGGCCTCTGCAGGATCTCTGTGGAGCCTTCTCCACACTGAATAACCCCAGCCTGTCCTTAAAGGAGAGATGCTCCAGCCTTCTGGCCATGTTCATGGCCCTTCCCCTCATTGCTCTAACAAGTTCAAATCTTTCTAGGTAAAAGAAGACTTCACAAATGGAAAAGTTCTAGGTCCTGGCAGTCAGCAAAATTCCTGAAAGCAAATGGACAGAGATTCATTCTAAATATCAGTGGAAGGAAAAGTAATAGTGGATAGAAATATGTATGTGCATTTAGTAGGTAAAGGAGTTTGGTGTTTTTCAACAGATCTCATTTCAGAAAGCTTGAAAAGTGGTGCTGGTGCTCTCTCCCCTGGTCTTAAACTGCATTACATTTTTAGCAGACAGGCTGAACATCCATGCAAACACTTTGGAGTATGAGGCACTCCAGAGTCCAGGCAAAGATGTTACAACCACTGGTCTGCATCCCAGAATTCTCAGATCTTCTTCCTGACATAACCCAACTGGTAATCAATCATGCAGCATTTTTTTAAGAGGAAGATGAGACTTCCTGGAACATTCTGAAAGTATTTTTAGTATCTGTTTTTACTAAAATCTTTAGGACTTGGACATTATGAATAAGACAACCATGACACCATGACTGCCTATGCACAAATAACTGAGTTGCTATTTCAGTTGTAATTTTCAGGTAATTCACTCAGTTTGCTCCATATTAAGTTAAACTTGATCTACAGTACTGCCTAATTTCTCTGCAATTGTCAGTTTAAACAGTTCCATTAGAATTTCAAGTACCATATATGGGACATCATTACAATAATAAGTTTCTGTTCCCTCTCCATTGCAGAAATTTCAGGTTAACACTTTTCCAATAGAACAAGAGCAGCAAATTCTTTCAGATACTTCAGGTAAAAATAAAAGAATTTGCTAGTTCTATACAAACTAATAATGTATGAATTATTGATCTTTGTAATCCCTTATTCACCAGTTTAGGCACTGTGTTCCTCTACCCAAAAAAGGAAGATAAAGTCTTTTATATATCTGAAACTTTTCTGACTATTTCAGCAGCTTTCAGCCACATTTCATTTCTCAGCTATACCAAATGAACTGTTACTCATGCAAAATATTCATTAGTGGAAGTGAGATGTGACTGAATTCAGAACTGCAAGGCACCTGCAGCTGCACACTCACATCCAAGGATTGTCCTGTAAAACCCACAACATATAAAATGCCAGTGCTCACAAGGAAGAACGATGGGAGCCCTCTGTTTTTGCCACAAGAACTGAAAGAGGTATTTTGTTTCACTGTATTATCCTTTCAGCTTGGCAGAAGTGGGAATTTGTACTCAGAGATCATAAACCCTGCATCTCCTAAATTCCTAAATCTCCCACATTCATCTCAGCTCTAGGCTGTAAAACATCAAGGAGACTTGAACGAGTGTCTCTGTCCCTTGGTCCACTGCATCACCACAGATCAAGTCTCTGTTTCAGTCTTCCTAAACTGCACCAGGACTTCCTTCATTGACTTAGTGCAGATTTAGGAATTCCACCAAGAAGTCCCTCTCCATGCCAAGGGCATTCCCAGGCAGGCATGAGGCAATACTGGAGCAGGTTGCAGTAAAATCTGTGATGGCAGAACCATCCCTAAAGGCAGCAACAGCTCTGTTTGATAAAAACCACCTGGATTATTTCTTCAGAACCCTCCCCCAAGAACTCCAGCTCCCAGAGCTGAGGCCAGCACTCTCTGCATCTCACCACCAATGCAGGCAGCAACGCTGGGAAATGCAGAGTTGAAACAAGCAAAAGTAAGTGGTAGTAACAGTACAAAGAAATTATTGTGAGAGTAACCCAAGTCCTTAAATTAATTTTGAATGGGGTGAATATCATTGTTTTGCTTTCTCCCAGAATAACATCCCACACTGGACTTACTCAAAAGATCAACCCTTTCCCTTCAGGAATGTGGTGGCACTTTTTTGTTTCCTCTGGAGTGACTCAGAGGAAAAGTCCTACATAACCTGAGTCTGCAAAAGCCTCTGAATTTAGGTATTTTCTAGATAAATTCAGATACATAATCACACTTGAACTGTCAGGCTGCACTTAGATCAGCTAAACCCAACCAACACAGGTTTGACACAAACCTGACACAAATCCTGCTACAACCCCATGTTACACTGCAAACTTAAGAAAGTAAATGCTGTCAGGGCAGAAGACTAATCTCAGGGGGAAAGTCTGAATAAATCTACCACTGTTTAGTCTGGAAGCCTCTGTTTGGATTTTGTAGCTCAACAGGCTTTACTTGGCACTTGTGGCATAAAGCTGCTCCAGACAATGCAAGACAGCCCCAGCTGGGTTATCCCTACAATATCACATTGGAGTGTAAATATCACACATCAGGCTTTTGCTTCAGATTTCATCAATTACAGAGCAGCTATGTAAACATGGATCTTGATTGCTGAGATACTCAAACTGTCCCAAGCTCAAAATGGATCAAACTTCAGTGACACTTTGAGCCTTTAAAAGTAAATCCTAATGCACTAAACAAATTTTCCTTTTAACAGATGGCTAATGTAAAGACTTTTCTTGATCTCTAAACTTAAGGTTTTCTGTACTGTCTTTGTGATCCGTTTTATATTTTAATTAATTTCTAATGCTAGATGACACTAAGAAGCATTTAATCTGACTTTTTTTTTCCTTGAAGGAGATCACACAGAGGAGGTATGATGTGCTTCATGTCTCCTACATGTGTGTGGCCATAAACTTTGATTCCATTTCAGGGTGTTAAAAGCTACAGTAATGTAATTAAAGATAATTGTAGCACAATGAAATGTGAAACTTCTCTCCTGTTGCACTGAAGATCTGCATTGTGGCAGCTAAATGTAGGATAAAATTTATGTGGTGCCACTAGTGAGTCTCTGCAGCATCCCTACATAACTGCTGGAGGAGAAGTTTCCCAGAGCAGTGTAATTGGTACCTCTTCTGTTTCCTCTGCAGCATCTTCACACCTGTGCTGTTTATGTAGGCTAGAGACTTGGCTAAAGGTTACTCTGGTGCCTTCTTTATGTGAAATGAGAGACTTGTTACAGACATGATAATCAGGTCTGACTCAGTTAAAGCATTTCCACAGCAAAGAGAAAAATCAAACTAGGTTTGATTTTTTTTTTTTTTGCTCTCCTGGTTTGCTCAGAGATTTAAGTGCACATCTCAAAGAATTAACAAACATTCATACACACCTTTTCCTTGTACAGCATGCTGGTAGTTTTAAAAAGACAAACAAAAAAGACACAGAAATGTGTGCTTAGTACAGGACAGTGGACAGCCTGCTGCTGCAGGAGCTGGTGAAACCAGTGGAATAAATGCTGTGCCTGACCTACTGAAACTGAATATTCCATCAAGTGATAAAGTTCCCAGATCTAATGGCGCTTCATTTTGTGAAATAAAAACATAAGAATCTAAAAACCATGAAACAGCACAGGTTAAGCTGTTATTTGTTGTGAGATTGAATATGAATAATGTTATTTTCCACAATGTCAGAGCCCCAAGGGCACTAATAAGCCCTAAAGAACCTCCCTTCTCTGGGTCTGTCCTGCTCCCCTGAGCAGGGTCAGGGCTTGGCCCTGGGTGGCTGCCACCCCACCCTGCCAGCTCTGCCATTACAATTGCTCTCTGCTTGCTTTCCTTTAGGAAATAACCTTCTTCTTGCCAGGTTTGGGCTGGTCACAGGCTTCTAATGTCTCTCCTGGAGAGTCTGCAAAGTGCTTTTCAGCTTCTCAAAGACATACTCTGAAACACTGCCTGGAGTAGTTACTCAAATCAATGAATTGAGTGTCATAACTCATGTAGAAAGTCTGAAATTTTTCAGCCCACATCCTAAGAATATGTGGAACTTTTTACACGCAGAGAAAAAAAAAATATCAT